GTCTAACAAAGTTTGATTTCTGCTCTCAGATACACCATTCAATTGTGGTGTTCCTGGAGGAGTGAGTTGGGATAGAATCCCACATTCCTGTAGATGGTCATCAAACTCTAGGCTTAAATATTCACTGCCTCGATCTGATTGAAGAACTTTAATATTCTTACCTAGTTTGTTTTGTACTTCATTCTTAAATTCCATGAACTTTTCAAAGGTTTCATATTTGTGTTTCATTAGATACACGTAACCATATCTACTAAAATCATCAGTAAATGTGATGAAGTATTGAAAACCTCCTATGGATGGCATGTTCAGTGGTCCACATACATCAGTATGTATGAGGGACAAAAGATCGTTAGCCCTTTCACCTTTTCCTGTGAATGAGGACTTTGTCATCTTTCCAATTAAACAAGACCTGCATGTCTCATATGATTCATAATCAAAAGAGTCTAAGAGTCCATCTTTATGGAGTTTGGAAATGCGTTTCTCATTTATGTGGCCTAAGAGACAATGCCAAAGGTAAGTTGGATTTATCTCATTAGGTTTAATCCTTTTAGTATTAATGTTATAAATTGGCATTTCAAGATCAAGGACATACAATCCATTGTTCATTTCTGCAGAAGCATAGAATATATCATTCAAGTAAATGGAGCAACAATTGTTCTTTATTATGAATGAAGAACCAAACTTGTCCAAATAAGAAACGGAAATAATATTCCTGCTAATTGCAGGTACATAATATCAGTTCTCTAACTGAATTATTAAACCATTATGTAAAGTTAAAACATAAGTTCCTACGGCTAAAGTGGCAACCTTTGCTCCATTGCCAACTCGTAGGTCAACTTCATCTTTTGCCAAATCTCTACTCCTTTTTAGCCCCTGCACATTGGTACAAATGTGAGAACCACATCCAATATCTAATACCCATGATGCAAAAGTAGATACATTAATTTCTGTAACAAAAATACCTAAATTTGAAGTCTCTACTCCATTCTTCTTATCTTCCAGGTACTTTGGGCAGTTTCTCTTCAAGTGTCCGGTCTTACTGCAATGGAAGCAAGTACCCTCTTTTGCTATGCCTCCACTAGGCTTCAAAGTAGGAACAATAGGTTTAGGTTTGGAAACTTCCTTTCCTTTCCCTTTACCAACCTGCTTGGTGGGCCTTTTGTTCAACTTTTTTCCATTACTGACCATCAGAATGGACTTCCCTTTTGACTTCACATTTTTCTCAACAGTTCTTAACATGCTTAGCAACTCTGCTAGACTTTTGTCCATGTCATTCATGTTGAAATTCAAGACAAATTGACTGAAGCTCTCTGGAAATGATTGCAAGATCAAATCAGTCGCAAGTTCCTTTCCAAGGGGAAACCCTAACCTTTCAAGGTTCTCCACATACTCAGTCATCTTGAGTACATGGGGACCTACAGAGGTTCCCCCAGCTAACTTGCTATTAAAAGTTCCTTTGAAACCTGGAACCTCTCATTTCTTGTCTTCTCTTGATAGAGCATCTTCAGATGTCCGATCATATCGAACACTAACATGTTCTCATGTTGCTTTTGCAACTTTGAGTTCATGGTAGCTAGCATAAGGAAAGTAGTTTCATTGGCTTATCAACATTCTTCTTATAAGCATCTCTTTCTGCCTTAGGTGCATAACTAGAAGGTTCCACTTCATGAACAGGTGTCTTCAAGACATACAACTTCTTATCATGCTTGAGGACAATCCTCAGATTTCAGTGCCAATCCAGAAAATTTGTCCCGTACAACTTTTCCTTATCAAGGATTGATCGCAAAATGTTGTTAGAGGTGTTTGTTGTCATGGTAATCTACAAGAAAAATATGAAAATATAAGTATCATTAAAATAACATATTCAATTAGGCCTTTAATCAAACATTCTCCCACTATTTTACTCAAAACAAATGACCCTCACCATTTGATTGGGAAAATCCCGTTGGAATATTTTCTAGTGGGTCGAGATCCACGTTTCACTTTATTTTAAGTCAATGTTAGGCTGATTACACTAAACTAGGTTATTTAGGTAAGAACTCCTTCCAATTGTATCTCATTCAACTCTCGAATATTTTTAGTCGGGTGAATAACTACTTATTCTAATCCATCATATGAATCATTCCCAACTCTTGCTTCTAAACATGTATAATCTTATTATAATTTGTTTAATTAAGTTTGACCCAATGTTTTAGCAATTGGATATTTCATTTATCCCATCGCACCTTACTAATATAGAGCATGCACCTCGTGTTAGACGAAACTTACATTGTTCGATATTAATCTTGATGAGTGCTAAAACTTGGAAAGAATGTACTTAATATTCTCTTTGAGGGAATTTGTTATTAGTTTCATCTCACTGACTTAACATGTAAATCGTCTCTCACATGTATTAACATACAAACACATGCATCAACATACATATAAAAAGATACAATTATGGCCCCTAGCGCAATTGTTCTCCGAAGCCAATGAGAGAACCTAAGTTAACCTAATAACAATCTAAAGGAAAACTAAGTTACATAAAGAGATTAAGAGAGAGGCAAGAAGTTACATAAAGAGATTAAGAGAGAGGCAAGACACACATGGCATATTTAAAAAATCCCAAAACAAAATAAAGGAAAACTAAGGCCATAACTGATCACCACAAGAGAACAATAATAAACACATTTTTATTATTAGTTTAAATTCTGTTAATTAAATAAACTAAATTAAATTTCGAAGATTGATCATACAACACAGAGTTAGCCGGGGGTTCCACTGCCCGACACAAAATTTTAATGAATAATTCATTTGAAATCGGCATCGTTTTTCGCACAACTCTTGTGGATTCACAACCCTAATCGCATAACTCTGCGACAACACAACCCTTGTGCCGTCATGAACCCTAACGCAATAATTTCATACCATAAAACACACCTCGATTGATAATTCAGTATTATTGGTCAACATGCCATTGCTTCACCATACTAATGTCGGATTCCAAAGCAAATGAACAGTGATCGCTCAAAGGAATAACAATCATTAAGTGTTTGAATGAACAAAATAGAAAAAATATATCCTATATACCATCTTTGCATCAGAATTACTTATATCATATATACAATGATCAATCTTATTTGTGTAACCTAGGGATGATCGATGTATCATTGCTTCACCATACTAACATCGGATTCCGAAGCATAGTCAACATCAATAATCCAAATCATACACAACAAATGCCAAAATTTGACTACTCGTTTATTATTCTATTCATTTTGTGTTTTAATCGAATCCAAACAGAAAAGACAAAAAATAAACATCTATCAGATCCATGGTTTCATAAGTGGCTCTGATGCCACTAAAGGAAAATTGTGATCCAAAATGCAACATAAATTAAAATTTTCCTTTAATGATCCTTACGAATGGTCATGGTCAGTGATAGAAACTATTACCTCTTGTGGCAATTCATATCTTTGATGTTGTGATCACGAGCGTTGGTGAAGAACAACGCCTCTATTCAGTCCACACGAACATATCGCTTTTGGTCATAGTGCTAGCTGCTTACGAACAAAAGCTTTGAGTGAGAGAGTGAGAGAAAATACATCTAAGATTTCAAGACTAAATTTTCATCAAGTGAAAATGCTTCAGCATAAGGGTTCTATTTATAGAATCACTTGTGTGGACTGCAAGCTAAAATCTCAATTAAGGCTGCAAGCTAAAATCCCAATTAAGCTTACGTGTATCATACCTTATGATGTACCGTATATCACTTAAGCGCGCGGTACCTTACCGCATTTTATATTCAACTTAAGTGTATCATACCTTATGGTGTTCTATAATTCTCTTAAGTGCACCATACCTTGCGATGATCCTTATTTACTCTATCTCTCATCAGCCTGTCCTTATGTGTGTGACCCTGTAGGTTTTCCCGATGTTGGAAATTATATTAAATCACACATTTAACATAATAAACAATGAGCTATATCTAGCAACACATCACTGCTACCCAAGTCACTAAAATGTCATGTGATCGGACAAAATCTTTGTGATAATATTTGTGTGTACAACTACCCTTTTCCCTTATGTCTATATTGAACACAAGACATAGACTGTGTCACCCTTGTCCAGTTAAATATTGGGCCCTTAGACATTTATCCAGTTATAAAGGATAGACAAATTCCATCTAGGTCACTCATGTCCCTCAGCATGCTTTATAAAGCACCCATCAACTGTATTTATGGTCATCCAATTACATATAACGTTTGATCAATAATAAAGTACTTAACTCTACATCTAGGGTCCATTGTGGATTCAGGTCTAAGGATGGTATACACCATTATCACTATGAAAATAACTTATGACACCTTTCATAACTTTCTATGTAGTATTCTCATAGCGGGTCAATCCAATATAAATATTACTTCTAATATTCATACATATGTCAAGACTTGATAACTCCTTATCCATGATCCATGAGATGCGATCATCGGTCTATCTATATAATAATCTCAATGCTTTAATGTTATCCCACTTCACAATAAAGCTCCCCTATGAATACTTTAAGAATAGTGTCCTTATGTTTAATGGGATCTCATGATTAAGTCACACTTAATATTTCATTAAACAGACAAACTATTCTAGGGACTTTATTATTTTGGAAAAGCAAACACAATAAAGAAATTCCTTTTATTATTAATTAATAATTCAATACAAGTACCAAAAGTATTAGCCTCTGAGGCTTACACAAACAGAGGGTGGATTCTACCCTACTTTTTTTACATGTGTGTTTGTACTTTATAGATAAAATGAATGCTTTGAAAAATATCTTTACCATTGCCTCTACTCAGTGAGTAAAACCTAGTCCCTCAGCCCGAAATGTTACCCCTCCTCCCGTTATTTCAACTTTGTCTACCACAAATGTCGAGGTTTCTTCGGCCACTCCAGTTTTTGAGTAAACTTTATCGATCAAAAGTATTGCAGCTGGTGATGGTCAACTATGTTCCCCTACTCTTCGAACAATGAGGGATCGTGATCAAGATCAAATCCCCCTGGATAAAGGTTCTCCAAAAAAAGCTCATTTATCTAGGAGTGAAGCTTCAGGGTTGGCCACCCCCTTTCTCAAACTGCTCGTCATCCTTCATACTCGAATTCTTCAAACTCCCGAGGAACTCGTTGTTGATATCTTTAAGGAGGATCTGAATTTCCTTCATAATCTTCATGAGGCAGATAAAATAGAGCTTCTTTCTGATGTTACCTTTTATAACTATTGGGCGGCCTCCTTATTTTCTCTTGTTACTGGTAGTCAGAGTGACATCCTAGCCATGGGTAATCCTTCTAAGGATAGGGATACCTGGAAGGAAAAATGTGAAGCTATAAAGGTGAGATGTTCCAAGTTTCAAAAAAAGGTGAGCTTTCTTCAGGAAAAGATATATTGTGCTAAGGTTTTCTAGGAGGAGGCAAAGATTCATGACTCCCCTTTTAATTTGGCTTCTAGAATTGATGAACTTGAGGGCTATCTAGAGGCTAAGAAGAAGCATCATCAAGAAACTTCGATTGCCGCTACCGAGGCCCACTCCCGTGCTTACCAAGCTCTAAACACATTTTCACAGGAGTAGAAGTCTCGAGATAAACACCAAAAGGCTCGTGATGATCTGGTAGCAGAGCTAAGGAAGAGAGTCGATGACTCACTCCAACAACCCCTGATCAACGTGTATGGGGCCTTCGATTAGGTGGTCGACCTGGTCAAAAATATTAGTTTAGACGCCTCTGCCCCCTCAGGAAACTGAATCCACTCAAGGTTGTCTAGGACAGAGCTTTGGTGGACAACCAAAGGGAAACATCTTATAATGAGAAGGATTAACTTCTTCTTTTTCTTCTTTTTTATATAAGTTAATGGGGATTTATGTATTTGTAAGGATGGCAATGTTTATATATTTTCCTTTCCTTTTGATTCCTTTATATTCCTATGCATGATGTGCTTTATTTTGTTCCTTCATAGTCTCCAAGTTAATGTATGCATCGTTAGTATTTGAACTAGCTGGTGGTTTTTGTCTCCGTCATGTACGACTTTAACATCGTATTTTGACTTTTGACACCGTCTATTGTTTTTTCATTTATGGAATCTAGAGCATCTACCAAACTCTATGGTCCTGACTAGGAGAAGCAAAACAACAAAGTGTTATCATTCTCAATTTTGATTGGGAAAATTATAGTTGTTCTTTAGTGTCGATAAGAACAGTCCCTGACCAAATAATAGGTTTTTGTCCCTACCCTAAGGTGTGTCTTGGTTTGGTGTGGACATCTCTGGGCTCCACCGCCTATGCTCTTGGAGTGGCTAGTTCCTAATAGGGGGTGCGCCAACTATGCTTTTAAGCATGTTCACAAGTGTGGAGTCTGTGCCAGAGGTGCGGTTTCTGTTATCTGAGGACGATTATAATAAATTGTGTATTTGCAATATTTCTGACATTTAACATATTATTTATTGAAATTTTGCAAAATCGTGAAGAAATTGCATCTCGCTGGATAGGTAGTGAATTTAAGAGAGCTGGTAGGGAACTTTCCTCGGTCGATATCTCTTTGGAATAACGTACGTCCTATTTGGTTGTTGTTGTGGTATTCCTATCCAGATACTCGAAGATTGTTCATGTATGATGTTCCTTCAACATATCTTTTCTTGAAGGGTTCCATCGGGCGACCAATGCCTCGGTGTCCAACTCACCTACCCCGGTTGTAAAAGTTAGGTCATCTATGAACGAGTTGCTCTTGACCCATCCTTAGAATGGTAAACTGGGTTGGTTGTCCTTCTCGTGTACTCCTTTGAATATAATGATGGTCTTTTGTAACCCTATGATGTTCAGTCAATGGTATGCCCGAAAAGAAGTCTACCTTCCCAAATCTGGCTGGACTAGCTTCAACCTTGCCTACTTGCGATCATTCCAGACCAGTGACGATAAATGTGATAACTAGTTCCAACTTCATGATTTATGCTCCAATTATCTTCTCTATCGCGTTTATCTTCTCGTGACCTAGACATCTTAGTACCACTCGATTTTCGAAATGCGACTTCGTATCAATTGTGGTACAAGAGAGGCATTGTGGTGGTGAATCCAACTGAAGATTGTTGTATCGTGGATCTACATCGACGAATATTGATTGAGGTGGAACAAAATCGAAGGATCTATTGAATATTTTCATTATGAAGTATGAGGTGATTGTCTTCTTTTCTCGGTGGTTCTAGTAGTGATTTGGATTTGGATCGAGGATTATCCTTTTTTGGAATTTCGTGAGAATTAGGAGTCAATTTCCTAAGAGGGAGCCACTGTTATATTGTGGAATCAGAATTGGTGTTGATCAATAGTGAAGGACTCTAAATTGGTGTTGTTGATCTCCGGTGCACTGTCGTTGAGTGAACCTATAATGTTAGCATTCCAATGCTCAAGCTAATTCAGAGTTCAAGAATGAGTATTGTGAAAATTAAAGAGTAGAAGCATGTACCTTGAATTTTTATGTCCCAACTTTATGAAAATTTTACCTCATACCCCTATAATTGTACTCGTACTGCTACAATTGAAAATTTTAGACGAAAATTCCCTTCATATAAGTAGTAAAATTTCAAAAAAATTCACGTTCCATTTTGACACTAAAAAACTCTTCTGAAACACTGAGAATGGAACACATTTTGGAACACTTTTACTTACTCTCCTGATTTACAAATACACACATCGAAACACTTCAAGTAAGTTTTCCGGTTTTATTAATTACACCAGAACACTTTTGAAAACAGTTCCAATTTTGATTGCGACACACCGAAACAATTTTGAACACTATTCCAATTTTATTGTATTATCCTGAACACTTTTGAAAACTGTTTCGGGTTTGATTGCGAAACACCAGAACACTTTCTTAAACTATTTCGATTTTAATTGCGACACACCAGAATACTTTTGAAAATTGTTCCGGTTTTATTGTATTAGCCAGAACACTTTTGAAAACTGTTCCGATTTTAATTGCGACACACCAGAACACTTTCTTAAAATCTTTTGATTTTATTAGCATTTTTACACGCCAGAACACTTTTAGAATGTGTTCTGGTATGTTTTTTTTATTTTAATTTTTTATAAATTTTTCCAGCTTAATATCTATTATTTTCAAAATGCAAACATTAGACAAAGACGACATGCTTTCTCGTAGGGTAGGATAAAGCGTTTCATAGATTGTGTTAGGATTGAGGAGCATGTTGGTGCATCTGCATCCGCTCCACAACTTGCTGGCTTTCCAGGAGGTTCGTCTGATACGTCTCTTCTAGTTAGGTATGAGAATCATTGTGCTCGACATATATGGTTCAATGAGGTAAGTAAATGACTATTTTATATTGAATAGTTTTTTTAATTTTTATCTGTGTTTAATAATATGTGTATTTTTGTTTTTAAGAGAGATGTTTTAAGAAAGAATTAAAAGTTATAGGACATGGGCTGAAGCTTCAGGGTTGGGTTCCACTTAATCTCCCAAGAGAGATGGAGAGATTGTTGTCTAACTCTGCTCTAAATTAACTTTAGAGAACAAGTTTGTCAAAGATAAACCCGAACTTGGTATCCCCGTTTGTAGAGAAATGGCATCAGGAGACATCTTCGTTTCACATGTCATTTGGTGAGAAGACGATTACTCTGGATGACGTAGCTTGTCTGCTTTACTTTCCCATTTGGGGTAACTTCTGAAGTCCCGAACATGTCACAGAACAAGATGTTGCTCAACTTGTTGTTGACTACTTATGAGTGTCACCGGGTGTTGCAGCATGACTGGTACGAGCATGCAGGGGTGCTTATTATAAGCTAGAGTGGTTATACCATTTATTTGTAGATAATTGAGCTTCTTCTAGGTGGGAATATGCGACTAGAACATATATGCTGGTGTTGGTTGGTTGCACTATTTTTGCGGACAAGACATTTACACTTGTCGAGGCATAATATTTGTTGTTATTCAGGGAATTGGATAACCTTCAGGGTTTTAGTTGGGGATTAGTTTCTTTGGTTACCTCTACGACGCTCTTGAAGATGCATCCATGTTCGGTTGTAAACAACTTGTTGGATATCCTACTCTAATTTAGGTATGTATTGAATGTAGTTTACTTTAATTTAGTTTATTTATTAGTTTAGTCTATGTTTTTAATTAAATTTGTTAATTAATAATATTAATTTTGGAACAATGTTGGATTCATGAGTATTTTCCAACACTTGGAAGAAGAGGAGAAAATTGGAAACCATATAATAATCTTAGACTTCCTAGAGCTATGAGATTGTCTTACAATCAAGGAGCCCTGAAGGTGGATGAGTTGCGCCCTATTTTGGACGTGTTGACACCTGTTAATGTCATATGTCACCCATTCGAGGATCATAGAGAATGGCGTCAGTTAGACGAGATATGTTTGTACAGGGGGCTAAAGTAGGGTGACACTATTGTTCCCTACTTTCCGGATAGATGTATACCGTTAATTTGGATACAGACAATATGTTCCACCCTCACCTTCTGGTCTTATTGATGTTGATATTGATGATGATTGGATTAGTTACCATCAAAGTGTCATTGAGGTGATCCGTCCAACATCACAAGCCACTTTTCCATCTGAGACTGATGCAAAATATTTTGATTAGTATTATCGTGTATCACATTCTCAGTTGGTGACACGCCCTCAGGATTCTCCAAGAGAGGTGCCAGTTCCTGAGTATAAAGTAGGACCATCTGATCCTAGTTGGGCTCGTATTTCCATATTGCTTCATCGTTACCACCAACAAGTTAGTGCTGATGAGAAGGATCCATAATTTGATGATTTATTTGAAGCTTTACATATTTCTCGTTCTAAATGATTTATGTTTATGTTGATATTCATGCTTACATTTATGACTTGTGTTCTGACTTATGTTTATGACTTATGTTCTAACTTATGTTTATGACTTATGCAATTTTGAGACATATGAAATTAAAACTCAATTACATAGTTTAATTTTCATGTTTCGACTACATATTTTAATACTCAATGAAAAAAAGTTTTTATTCTAAGCTAACACAATGTGGTAAAACAGGCGTAAGTTATTGCTAAAGTTGTAGACGTCCTACAAATCCTAACATCCAAGATGTTGCATCTGGAGAACAAAACTTCTTCTAATCTAATGTGACTGGTGGCAGTGAAAACCCCTATTTCATGTTTACCTAGTTAGAAAAGTAAAGTTAGTCACATATTAAAAAAAATTAAATTTAGTCATATATTATAATTAAAGTAAAGTAAATACCTGAACCCAATGATTATGGTCTACTAAACCAATGCACCAAATAGTCGCATTTGGTGAATATGAGCTCGCCATAGGAAGAAAAGTCAAGCACAAATTCCCCAAATGAAGAAGTACAACATTATATCGACTCGCAATTAAGTAACCCAAATCTGATAGAGTCAACCACTTCTCCGGTGGTGGTTGACCAACAGTCTCTATCCTTAAAGACCCCCCATCACTTCTTATATACAATTTTCAAATAACTTATCATACAAACTCGATCTTCCTTGGTCTCTTATTTCCATGTCCAAGTCTCGACGAACCATTGGCCAACCATATTCAGAATATCCATG